TATATATATATAATTACTAGCTAATCTCATTTAATAAAACATTTAATAAAAACATTTTCACTTTCCCTCCAAAAGAAGTTACATTTTTTTAATTAACTCACTAATTCCACATTTAAGAAGGTTTCTTTTTGTTAAAATTAATTAATTAATGGTTAAATTAAAAAAGTTTCTTTTAGTTAATCCTACATTTATTTATTTATTTTTTATTTATATATGAACGTGACAATCATTATTGTTGTGCATAAATTATATATTATTATTTTTTATTCCATTATGAATTGAATAAGCAATTAAAGTTATAAAAAATATTAATAAATGTAATAAATGCAAATATTATAATACAGATCATGTTACATTACAATATAAAAAATGAAATTATTTTTTTTGGTAATTTAATTTTCAGCCATACTCCATCAAACATATAGTTGCAAAATGATAAGAAAGATTAGTTTCATAATTAAAATAAAAAATTAGCTCCCCCAAATGGTAAAACCTTATAAATTAGTAGTACATATACATTTAAATGACATATAATTTATAAAGTTAGACTATACGCATAATAAGATGAATTAAAAAATAATTAATGAAGTAAATAAATAAATTAACCTACTATATAATTATTATAGTAAAGTCTATATGGTCAATATTATCATTTAAAAAGTTCATTGAAAAAACATATGTATAAAAAAAATTCGTATGATCATAATTAATAGCACAAAATTAACTATCTTTGACTTTCCATTTGGTAGTAATAATAAAATATTTTATATTACTACTATTCAATAAAATGCATGATTTCTGCATATTTGATTATAGTAATCAACATTATGTTTTATAAATTAAAAAGTGTGCTGAATAAATTGTTTCATATTTTTCAATAAAAAAATTGTTGGTCGTGAAAAAATTATTATTTCACAATTATAAATATAAATATGATTAATTTTCATTAAATATTTTTTCTTTAAGAAAAAAGTGGCAGGACAATTTTCTGCATGATTATAGCATCAAAACATATCCAAAACATCAATATTTTAATTCATTAAAACCAACAACAGAAAAGTCATATTAAACGGCAATTGGCAAAGTCAAAGAATGAGGATTGACAAGGCATTATATGTAATGACATTGTCGGTAATGGCAGATTGTTGTATAATTGCATAATTAATAATCAACAAAAAAAAGTCAAATCTATTTGAAAAAAATCAAAATTATAAACACAACAAATTATGTGGAACATTATTGGTAGAAAGAAAAATAATTTGATTTTCTTATCATTATCAACACATTCAACTTTTACCAAAACATCTGTCTTTCTATTAAAATCGATTTGTTGCGTAAAAGTTGTAAAAATAAAAATTCCTACAGATTCTTTTAAACATTAAACAAGAAATTCCTAATATGCGATAAATATATCCAAACATATTGTTATGAACTTACCTAATATTTCCAAATTTTGAAGAAAATATTAAAAACATTGAAAAACTTCGGCAAAAGACTTTGAACAACTTTGAAAAGCGATTTTGAACAAGTGTTTGCAAAGCTTCACTTACTAATATGATGAGAAAGACGAGAAAGAATTGAATTATTTAGTGTTCAAAATCCGAACAAAATACATAAAAGTAACATATGTATGTTATAAACATATATGTTATAAACTTACCTATATATTTGTTAGTAGAGCTGAACAGATATGTTAGAAACTTACCTATTTTTCAAATCCCGAACAAAATACATAAAAGTTTGAAAATGTTCGACTAATGTCATGTTCTCTTTGAAAAACGATTTCGAAAAATATCTAAATAATTTCGAATTATGTATAAAATATGATATATCTTTGAAGCTTATTTAAAAAGAATTTTGAAAAACGACACAGATCATTGAAAATAATAAAAAAATAAAAACTATGTTTCACAAAAAATATTTCAGCTCTTCATAGATTTGTAATATTATCGCCCGATTTTGACCGACCTGTTAAGATTTAGCAACACAAATTAAGAAATCGGGACGAATATTTATTTTTCGATCACTACTGTTGGCCACAAAAACAACATTTCTCGGATTTTTTTTAAGCCTTTACTGGGAGAAAAATTTCGGTAAACCATTTTTTTTGTATTCAATCTCGCCGAGTTTGTCGTAAGATCGGGTTAAGGATTAGGGTTTCAGACATAGTGAATAACGAAAGAAACGCCGACATCAAACAAAAAAAATTGGCTTACATCACTCAAGGAGTTTATCTCTATTTATAGTCATTTTATCATTGACATGTTTTATATTTGATTTTGGCTACCCTAAAAAATTAAGTGGACTTCTAATTTGGGCTTTTTTTTTTTATCATTCAATCAATTTATTTCTTTATGCCCCAAAAATTGTCATTTTGTTCAAATGTCTTAAATATTTGGCACATATCATTATTTATCAACCAAATACAATTATTTATTTTGTAATATTTTGATGGTATTTTTTTAGTATTTTTTTTTAAATTTCCTATATGATCGATAGTACAAATTACAATAATTATTTAAAAAAATAAAATCATTATATGTCTTAATTTGAAGATAGTGATTTGTAGTGAGAGATTCTGTTGATAGAAAAACCACAAACGTTATATAAAGAATTGTTTAACAATATTTAGTTATTTTTTTTAGAATATTTTTCCAATAATTTTATTATGATTTTTACTATTGTTTATATCTTTTTATTATTTTTTTGTTTTATTATTTTACTTTCCGTGCAAATGCACGGGTTTAAAACTAGTGGGGTGATAAAGAGTAATACCCTATTTATTTTCATTCCATTAAAATTTGATGGTGCAAAGCAACTAAAAAAAATGATATATAATGAAATATTTTAGAAAAAAATTAAGAGATAAATTTGTTTTGTTTAAATTTCAAATATTTTTCTTAAAAAAATGTATTATTATTTATATTTAAAAAAGCGTTTTAATTGTACGATTTTTCTATCTTATATTATGATAACTTTTCTGATCCATATGTAATGTATTTGATTAATGCCTTTTCAAATAGGTATTGAATTTTATTCATTTTAATTAGTATTAAAGTTGACTTAATTATATAATAAAGAAAATAAAAGTATTAGTTTGATATGTTATATACAAAATTCTGATAACAATGAGAAAATTAATAGCTTTTAAATATATTAGTATTTTAAGTTGGTCAAGTGTTTTATAATTTTAGCAGCCTTAATAAGAAGAGATCAAAGATTAGAGGTCCATATCTACTTGTACTACTCCAAACCAAACACTTAGAATTACGAAGCACCAAAATTCGACACAAATGATTATGAAGCACCAAAAGTCAGACGTGAAATTATGCGGTATTGCATAGAGAGGAATTATTGGATTGTGAATTGATATAAAATAAAATGTTTGATTGCAGTTGATATCATAGAAAAATAAAATGAAAATTATTGCGAGTTAAAAATATAATAATTTTTATTAAAAAATGTAGAGTAATAATTCATTTTTACTATATAAATGTGTTGATAATATTGAGGTTAAAATATGTGAAGTAATAATTATATTTTATTATATAATTGAGTTGCTAATTTTGAGGACAAAATTTGAGGTTAGATGAATAGTATTTTAAAAAATGTATCAGTTGTTTTTTTATGGAAAAAAAAAGTTATTCGGTAAGATAAAGTCCAAAAAAACTTATATATGAAAAAAAAACATTTACTTCTATATTTAGGTGTTGTAGATAAATATATATTAAATGAACGACCGTCTTATTTTTGTCAAATTCCTTCAACTATCAAATAGTTTGTTACTATAATGAAGAAAAATGAAAGCATTTCAAATATTAATCCAAAACGCGCTGAGCCTATGTGACTGCTTCTGGTGTTTCGAAATCCTATTGTGGCAAAATTACATGTTTCTTTATTAGACTTGGGTAAATTTTAATTGAATTCCAAATAAAAAATAATTAGGTTCGGATTATCATAAATATGTTGATTATTTATGGTCATGTTACATGCACTAATTGCATTTTAATATCATTCCTTGTTATAACTATTAAATTGTATATGTATTTTAAAAGTTAATAACTTTTGTATATAATATATCAAATTAGTCTTCTTTTGATGAACTTCGATTTAACATCAATATTGTATGTCTAAAAAAAATAATTTATATTTATCTTTATAAAAATAATAAAATTATTTTTAATATTAATTAGAAAAATAAAATTATTTATCAACTAATATATTTATATTTCAAATAGTTATATGATATAAGTTATAAAAACTAATATAATATAACACATGAAAGTCATAAGTAACACATATCATTCTAAAATATATAGTAATATATATTTTATTTTTATAAAAGAGTAAACTAAATTTAATATAATTTTCTCATTAATTTTAAAATTTAAGAATAATTTTTTAACAAACACTTGTGTAATACACGGGTGTTGTACTAGTTGTCTTTTATTTGAAATGCTTTCATTTTTCTTCATTATTTATGATAAATTAAGATATATTCACTAAGATAATTACTCACTAAAAATTTTCATATTTTATAAACATAACCAATAATGCAAATAACACCACCCCAAGAGGTACAATTTGCACAAGTCCTAATATACAGTATATTGGCTAATTAATCATGTAAAGTGCAACCTAATTGGCTAATTAATCATGTAAAGGCAACCTAATTAAGATTTAGTTACTTATCACCCAAAAAACTAAAAAAAAAATAAAAATGAAGTGATATTTGTCCTTAAATTGAGACAAATTAATACACCCAGGACCAATTTTGCAGAAAAACAATCAGATAGGATCATTTTTTGCATTTCACCCAAACATATGACTATTTTGGCAATTTACCCAAAATATGAAATGCCATTGGTGACTTTTATAGAAGTTCAAACAAAAAACCAAACTATAAAAGGGGCAAAATCCAACATAAATTGTCACAAAACTACACGAGAACAAACAAAAAAGGTGATGCAACTCTGTGTTTCTGTCTTGATATGTAAAGAAGAACCATCATTTTTCAGTCTTCCAGCATAGCCTTAGCAGCATCGATTACAGTTGGGCGTAAATCATCAGATGCTCGGCCGAGAACTGTGTATCCTTCTTTATCCTTGGCATCAACATCAGCTCCATGTCTTATAAGAAGAAGGGCTACCTGCAAACCAAACACAATTATGGAAAACAATTAATCGACAAAGAGTATTGCACCAGTCCCACTATTTCAACAAGGCTAAATTGCAAAGTAGGTCCTATTAGATTATGAAGGTAGCAATTTAGATCCCACTAGATTGACATATAGCACTTTAAGTCATGTAACTAAAATTTAGCTAAGCTGCAATTTCAGTCCGCTGACTGTCAAAATTCCCAATTTATACATTTGGTATGGATTTAGATTCACAATTTATGTCCTGTAATTTAAAAATTTGTTGCAATTTCAGCCATTCCAACCATCAAAACTGGAAACTTTAACGGTTAGAGGACTGAAATTGCAATAAAATATTAAATTACAGGATTAAGTTGATATATGTCACTATAGTGGGACCTAAATTGCTAAATTCATAATCTAATAGGACCAAAAGAAGGGCTAGTTCAGGACAAGGTGCATGAAACTACCATTTGCAATTTAGCCTAATTTACAGAAAAAGTATGACTACGTTTAACATTACAAAATACTCCCCTTGATGTATTACAGTTATCTCAAAATAGGTTGCAATTTTCAAAGAAAATATTTTTGTAACTTGGATTTTTTCAAAGAAGTTCACGAACCTACTATAGAAATAATTTACAGTATGAGAGGAGGATAGAAGTAAGATATTACCTCTTTGTTACAACATACTACAGCAGTCATGAGGGGAGTTTGACCTGCTCTATCAACATCATCAACCTCTGCTCCTTCCTCAATCAAGAACTCACACAACTCTGCACTTCCCGTGCTCGCTGCACGATGCAATGGGGTACATCCAAACTGCACAATTCATTAAGCATCATTTAAAAATCCAATATTTAGAAATAACATTAGAAAAAAAAAAAAAAAAACAAAATTTGTAATATTGTAAAGAAGTCGACGAACCTTGTCTTTGATGTTGAGTTTTGCTCCTTGCGAGACAAGGATTTCAGCTATCTTCAGCCGGCCCTTGCTAGCAGCATAATGGAGGGCCGTGCGGCCACCGTCGTTTTTCAGATTCACGTCAGCTCCTGTTCGTAAGCATTCAATTTCCCAATTAGAGACTGTTGAAAAAACAATTTTAACAGCAATACCATGTTCTCACAAAATCAATACAAAAGCAGTATAAAGATATATATTCTTTTGAGATGATTTTAGAAACTGATTTGCTGAAAGCCCTACAGTTGGAAAAACCTCAGAGCACAATCCATGCTCGGGTGTAATAAAATCAATGTTTAGGCATTGAAGAATCAAGTTGAAAAGGAATTTCTGAAAATTAAATGCAGTTAGATGGGGCAGTGGGGTATTAATATTCATTTCTACAGCAAATCATCCTGAGTTCATGCTCTCACAAGACAAGAAAATTTCTCTCCTGATCAACACCAAAAATTATTCATAGGGAGAAGAACTAGGCAGAAAATCGTTTATAAACATTTTTTTCTAAAACCCACCTCTGTCCAGTAAAATCTCGATAATTTTTAAGTTGCCGCTGCTCGCAGCTGAGTGCAGGGGAGCCCAGCCTTCTTCATCACAACTATTCACAACCGATGGGCCAGCAGCCGATAAAATTTCCACCACCTAATCCATCCACAAGGCACAATTCGAATACGGAAACGAACAAATTCAACAACTTGCATACCAAACTAAATTCCAAAAGAAGAAGTCTAATCACACCACAAGTCCGAAAACATTCTTCCTCAAATTTCGTGGCCAATGGAAAAGAGAGACAAAACTGAATACCCACTATCAATTGCAGGGCTTTTCGTACTCCAGTTGCCATCAAACAAAGCCAAAACACAAAAACCAAAATAAAAATAAAAAACCCACATTGCAACTGATCTAGGGTTTGAGGTTAAAATTTGCGAAACTTCACTGAAACACAAAGAAGCAAAAAATTTCACAAATGAAAGGAATTGAAAGCTGAAGCAATTGAAATGCAGCTGTACAGAGATGGTAATTGATGGACTGGACCTCGGGCTGGGAGGACGAAACGGCGACGTGTAGGAGAGAGCGGCCATCTTCGTTTCGGAGCGAGCTGTCTTTGAGGAGCTGCTCTTCGGAGAGCGATCGGAAAACTGATATATCGCCGGACTCCGCCGCCTTGAACAGGTCCTTGTCTTTGATTATGCTGGCTGGATTGCCGTCGATTTCCATGTCTAGGGCTGAGAATCACTGTATACTGTGTGTATTGTGTGTGTGAATGACATTCGTTGGGGTTTGGAGCTTTTTGGAGGGTTTTTCTTGGGGAAAATTTTTTGCAATTTCCTAATACTAACTTATGAATTGGCTACGGTGCCGTGTACCATTCCGTTAATTTAATCTCAGTCATTAGATCTTTGTAAAATTGATAGGGACCTTTTTTTTTTGGTGCAAAGAAGGTGTTTAAATAACTAGGGACCTTTAGATGTGGTAAAAGTCTACCAAACCAAAATGACGTG